TACTGTATCCCACGAAATCTGAGAAATGCATCTTGCCAGAAAGTACAAGCATATGTCACATTTGCAGCCTAAAGCACTTGTTTTTTAAGCAACACACTGATTTCTCAATATTGGGTTGAGCACCCATTTACTATAAAACTAACTACATTATTCTCATTTTTAAAGAGAAATAGAAGCCGCACATATGTGAACCTCTCTGTATATACTTCAGTACACAAATTGTCTTTATTTTCAGCTCAGATTTATTTTAGAAAATTTTAAGAAATGCCAACAAAATCTTGACTCCTGCAAACATTGCATGGTTTATTATAGCAGTTCAGGAGCTTCTTTTATATTATTTCATAAGCCTACTTCAACAACAGAATAGTAAGAACTTGCAATGTATGGTTAGAGTCTTCACTCTTCAAAATTTATACAGCTGTCTGCAGGCTATGTGATCTAAAATATTTCATGCAAAGAAGTGAAGAAAATGAAAAATCCATTCTTTTAAAAACAGAAACAGAAGCTTGCTGCTTTTTCTTTATTTCCAGTTCATGTTCACACAGGTAAAAACTATGGGAGCTTTAAATAGTAGTACAGAATTCATGAAATACAAGCCTGTAGCAAATAGCAGGTTCATGAATAAAAGAAACCCCTTTTAATCTGTCTGCCTCAGTGTGTGTGCTGCTGTTGGCTTCCTGATGGCCTCTTCTACAGGGTACATATCATGAAGTAGAAGCTCAATATAAGGTGAAGAAGCACTAACCTTTATTATATTTGCCAACTAAGTATCTTAAGTTTATAAGGTCAGTCTCCCATATCTGTGTCCTCTAGAAAATTCTCACCACACTCCTGCATTAGAAACAGCACAATCAGACCTCGCCTTCCATGCCTTTGGTAATCAGTGCAGTCATGCAGTGCTGCACTGTGTGCTGTTGTTTACATTGCCAAGGCATGTTCAAGTGGCATTTTGACTCTCTGCTTCTGGTTCCTGTACCACAATAGACTCTGGAGCTAAGTCTAGACCTATCTTTAAGCTGCACTGAGGAATGGTCAAGTCAGTGCGAGATGTAAGAGACTTTAAAAGAGGAAAAAAGGAGCAGAGGAATACTCTGTCCCGTTGTAAGTTCAGGTCCATTATAACTGTTTGAATTTCAGTTTATCAGAAATTACAAGATCATTCTTCATCCTTCTGGCACTGCTACAAGACTCTTAGTGAAAGTAGTTGGGTCTCTCGTGTCTGTTCCCATTGCTGTGTCTGTCCCTGCATGCAGGACCAGGACACTGGTTCAGCACCAGCTCTCCGCTGTACCATCCTACAGGATTTGTCCCTTCCCTAAATATCTTCCTTCTAACAGATTGTGTTGCCCAAATTAGTCTTTGGGATTCAAAATTTCTTTTCCAAGTAAGTGGTATGGATTTAGGGCACCAAGTGATTGCTTTGTTGTTTTTAAAATGCTCACAAAAATGGGTTAATGGAAACAGTCTGAAAGGTCTAAAAATATCCCAACTGATTTTTTTTCCCCTTCTTTCTTTTCCTTTCATCCTGAATATTGATAGGCCTTGTTTTCAGCCCCCAGACTCCTGTTTGCTATCCCACATTATAGCGTGTCATGTGAATGCACACAGTTTAAGGCCATACTACCTGCCCAGTACTGCCATACTATTGCTCAGGAAGATGGTAAGTCCTCTGCAGCTCTTTTAGAGCAGTGTCACGGAGATAAGGCCAGCGCACATCCAGACTATTACTCAGAGACACCTCTTCCCTTTGTCATGCTGTCACCCAGGATAAAAGCAATGGCAAAGGAAGACCCTGAAACCTTTGCCACTGGGCTGCTCTGAATGTATCTGAAGGGTTTGTTGAGAGCATGAGAATTATGGGCATTGCCAGGGAAGGGCAAGAAAGAGGTGGAAGAGATTAAGACTGCAGAGGATGAAAAGGACAGGAACAAAGAGAAGGTGGCCCCTACTTAACTATTTCCACTCATCCATACAACATGACAAAAGGAAGACATTAAGGCAAATATTCAGACCATTTATCTTCTGCAATTGCCTGCATATCCATACTGTTCTGCAAGGAAAATGCACTGTTGTTTGCATTTACACTCACATATACAGCTCTGGACTATTTATAGAAATGGCATAGGCTTTAGTGGAAACCAACCAGATTTTCTGAAGTCCTTTTAGGGGACTTGTTTCTTTATCCAGATCAGCAAGAAGGGAAATCAATGATTAGTGTAGCAGAACATCTATTCTTATGTTATTGCTATCAGTACAATCACACAAATAGATGCACACTGATATTTGTTTTTTAAAAAAGTATACAGTAACTGTATAAAATGGTAGCCATAGCAAAAAGCTGTACTAAATAAAAAACTCCCAAATTTTTCACTGTTGCTTAAAAGTGACTGCATTCATTTTGTTAGTCACGGAAGTATTTGTTTCACTCATAGCTCTGTGTTCTGTTACTCTAAGAAAAAAGTCAGAGCTCATTTCACATTTTGAGAAGTGGCACAGCAAGTTCTACAGAGCTTGCTATGTCCTTGCAAAACAAGGGTGGGCACAGCACATCCTCAGGAAAGGTGAATTCAACAGAACGTATTGACACCTGATTTACACAGGATTGTGGGAACTGCATTTACTTTAAAAGCCAACTTTGAAATGTTGCTCCACGACCAGTGTAGAAAAACCCAGAGAAAACAGACTGACAGCTTTATAGCCACTACCAAGGTTCTCTCTTCTAGGGACAAGTACAAATACAGGAGCTCAAATGCGTTGTCAGTGCCTGCATTCAAACTCGGACCTCTGCACAGTTTGAACAGAGAAGCTGCAAAAGTGAAGTGCAGATAATTGTGAAATAGTAGCACCTATATAAGAAATATTAAGTCATGTTAATAAAGATGAGATGTTTGTTTATTTGCTTTAAAGACTACTGAACAGTCCTAACCTGAAGACCAGTAATGGGGTGCTAGTTGCTTCCATCTGAAGGAGAGTGAGTCAGCAATGGTCAGTGACAGATACTTTGTACTGGGATAATACGTTAGAAAGCATATTTTTCGGTATGTTGATAATGATGAAAATGCAGAATTATTGCAAAGATGGAAATTGAAAAACTACTTAAGTCTTCACCTACTATCTCATAATCCACACTTAAAAATCAAATAAGCTTCTAGGAACATAACACTTGTTGCAAGACCCATATGGTATTTTAGAAAAGACCCACAGTTATGAACTTGACTTACACAGGAAAAGCAGTTGTTGGTGAGGAAAGTCTCAGAATGAAATACAGCCTCGTTCAGTATGGGCAGAGAGAAGAAAGGGCAGCAGAGACATACATAATAAAACACAAATGCTATATGGACACTTTCAGGAGCAGACTTTGATCCCTTTTATCTTTTCCCAAGGTAATATATCCATGCCAACATTACAGGAGCCTGTAGATGAGTTGGGTCAAGATCATCGTAGTTCACAGTCAGTACATGCTCACTCTGGAAGTCTCTGAAGGGCTCAAAGTCTTACAGCAACACAACGAAAATCACAGATGGAGAAAATGCCTTTTCAACATGAGCCACTAAAATGCCTGAGCAACCAGATGGGAAAACTGAGAAAATAAAACTAACTTCTTGAGTGTGACAATAAAATTCCTGCTGAAATCTCTTTTCCTGCAGTGGTAAGACCTGTCTGACAGCAGATTAGGAACTATGTGAAAGGCCATAGCAGATCAAATCAAAGGTCCATCTAGCCTGGTGCCTTCTTTCACAGAGATACAAAAGCAGAAAGAGTATAAAACTGGAGCAAATTATAATTGCCCCAAATATTAGCCCAGACTTCCAACAACTTATGGCTTAAGGAGTTTCTGAAATAAAATGTATTTCAAGGATGAGTTACAAAGTGTGTGCGTTAAAAAAGGAAAAGAAAAACAGGAGAAAAAGAAATCTTTGTTTAATTTGAACATGCCACAGCTGAGTTTGCCCAATAGCTCCTGGTTGCCGTGCTACAAGAGGCAAGTAATAGTTACTCTCCATTCACAATTTAAATGACACTTGTGATTTTATAACTTGGATCCTATCTCCCCTCAACCAACCTCTGTCCAGGGCACAGTCCAGGCCTGCTTAGCTAGTTCTGTAAGAGATGTGTCAGAATTGCAGAGATATCCAAGATGGAAGCAAGTGAAAGATTTGAAGAGTGGCATATTAATATACTCGATTTCATTCCCTTTTCCCCTCGTGGTAATCCCTGACAATTTGATATGGCAAAGCATTTTAGGAAAATCTGGACATTAAGCCTGCTTTAATGGATGGTGGAATCTGGGATCTTTAATATGTGCTGTTCATAGTGATGCTTCTTGGGTGCAGGGAAAAAGTAGATGTAAGGAAAAGCCAAGAGGGAAGAAGGGAGGGAGAGAGGGAGAGAAAGGAGGCAGATAGGGAAAGGAAGGAAAAGAGGGAGGGAGGGAAAATTTTTTTGCAGAAATCCCTGGTGTTGTGGCAGCATCACAGCAGCCAGTCCTGCCAGCACAATTCAATAGTGCTCCTGAAATCCATGGAAGGATAAGACCATGCAGTGAATCCTGTGGTCCAGATTAATTTCCTGGAAGCTGGAGATGTCTTTTTGCACACATTAGGCAAATAGAGTTTTAGGATAAATGATAAATGATGCATTATAGCAGAGAAACATCAGGATATAAAAGTTTTATAGAAAATAGATACCATCTAATTTTAGAAAATGCTTGTAAATTAGTAGATACTCCAGAAAATACTCCTAAAGTCCCCTCAAACAATTAATTGCTATTCTCATATACACTTTCATAAGGTACCTGAAAGAAGAACCAACAGTGCTTGTAGACTGCATTGGTTTCCTAAAGTTGAAATTTTAAAACACATAAATGAATTACATATTTTTGTGTGTTCTCAGTTGTTTTGGTCAGTAATGCTGACTAAGGATTTGCATGAATCAGGTCTGCAGAGAATGGTAATTTTGATGAATTACTGATGTTTTTCTTGTCCAATTTCTCTCATCAGTGTTGCTGGTAACAATCCTTGTAGTGGAAGGGATTGCTGTTGCACAGAAGACACAAGGTACAATTTTAGTTTGATGATTTTCTGTCAAAAAATGTAACAGTTTTGTAATTTTTTTAATTGAGCAGTATAAATGAAAGAAAGTATTTGTGTTCAGGTGTTAATAGCTCTTGGATTACCAATATGAATTCTAGTGTTTTCCATTTTCCCCCATTTGCTGCATTTTCTTCTGAATGAACAAAGCCATCCAGTCACAAAGAACATGGAAGTTCACTCACCCAGTTAAAGTTCTGTGCTTTTAGATGACAGAGGTGGTAAAGAAGCCACCATGGAAATTCATGTTTTCTTTTATCTGACAACAAGCTTTTCAAATAGTCCACCCACAAGCATTTTTGAAGACTGCTGAGTGGGGAAGGCATCAATTTCACAAACCTCGTTTTCTCGTATGTGAGATTAACCCACACTTAAAAGAGGAGAAGAATTCCTTGAACTGACACCTACAGAATTTCCTTGGAAAATTTCTGCAGGAGAGAGTTTTCACCCCCATAAATCAAGAAGCTGCCAAGATACCAGTGGAAGGTGATGTTATTTACTGGAGGCAGCTGAGACCTGTATCAGCACTGGGTGTCCTCTCAAAGGTGTGCAAATTGAAACGGCACAGATAAAGTTAGATATTAACAAGCACCTTAGAAGAGGGTTTTCAACCAAAATGAATTACTGTCCTCTTTAACAGGCTGTGTGTCATGCCAGTGTTTTATTTTTGCAATATCAAACCTGCAGGCTTGCAGAAGAAATTTGGTTTATCACTTTTTTTTTCCTCTCAAGGTGGGCAAAATATCGGAGTGAATCGCATCCCTCCCACCCAGTGCGACAACTGGGTACGGACGAGTAATGGAGGACATTTTGCTTCACCAAACTACCCAAACATGTACCCCCCAAACCAGGAGTGCATCTACATCTTAGAAGGTACCTGCTGTATTTCTGTTTCGTTGTGCTGTAATCTTCCTGTTAAATGGATAATCTTGAACTGTTGGGACTGTGTCGTTTTGCAGTACTGCGAAGTATTGCTTTGCCATATTGGTGATATAATAAATTCTGCATAAATTTACTTGAACAAGAAGCTAAATTTGCTCTCTGAAGTAATAATAACAAATTAATAAGAAATGCAAACATGAAAAAAATTAGCTGTAGGGAATAAGACATACCCTCACAGCCAGAAATAGCAGCATCAGATCTACTGTAATCTATGAAGACACAGAACTATTAAGATAAAAATTGTCGTTTGTTATCTTAATATCACTGATAATAAACAGCAAAAAATGAAGACTATTTTCAGACCATACTGTGTTATTCTAAGTCTATCTCACTAGCAGAAAATCGTTATGCTGTCCTTCATTAATAAAAAAGATACATCTGAATGCCATAGCACTGTACTAAAAATTCAGAGATTTGTTAGCTCTGCTGAAGTCACTATTAAAATAATGTGCTGAGGACAAAAAATTGTCATTAACTTGAATAAAGCCACATTCCAATGAGAATATCTTGGATAAAGGCTGCAAGACTTGAGACACTCTAATTATTTTTCCTCTTATTAGAATGCACCCAAAACCCACTGAAGTCAGCTAAAAATATTAGTCAGCTTAATCATCTGATTCATATCAATTAATTGAAATATTTCAAGTGGTAGGTTTCAGTGAGTTTTTATTTGTACAGTACAGTGGTGGTTCACAGACACCCTTTTTGCGTGTACACGTGCACAGTTTCGGTTCTGAGTCTTGTCTGACCGTGAGGGCACCGTGGAGCACACACAGCAGGTCTGGCCTCAGGGGTCAAACGAGGCAGTTGACACGGCTCAGAATCAGCTCCAGAGCCTCTCCTTACAGCCCTTCCACAGAAACATTGTGGGTACCTGAGTGAGACCAAGGCCCTCCAGAATTTCTAGCCAAGATCTGTGCGTTCCTGCAGATCACTGCTAGGCTGCACAAGCAGCTACAAATGTGTGTAACTCCTGTGTAAGGAAGGTGTGAGGTCTGAACGGAGCGTTAGAGGCACGTCAGCAAATGCTTTTCGCATCCAGAGGGAGCAGCCAGCGTGGGATTCCTTAATGCTGGTGCTCCAGACACCAGGGAGTATCTGAAAGTTCACACAGCTCAAGAGATGCCAAGAGCAAGGAACACTAAAGTTATTCACAGAGTATAAAGCCAGGGATGGGAAAGTCCCGTCTCAGAGTAGTCATAACTGTGTCTCATCAGGATTTAGGGGTCTGATCCAAACCCTGATATTAGGCTGCCACTGATACAAACTTGCCAGCATCTGTAGCCACCTGCGTATTAATAACATATTTGAAGCATTTACACTTCTCTGAATAGTCTAATGAAAGATGTCTTCTGCCAATGGATCTGCAAATTTGGACATTATGTTTAAGAAATGTATCAGTCAGTAGATCTTCATATCATCCTCTTTTCCATTTTTTTCTGCACACCTCACTGTTTTGTCCTATACTGTATATTTTACTTTTGCGTAACACTGGGTTTAATTTATATTTTAATAACTAAATCTTGTTTGAGTACCTCTGCATATATGTTAATATGTCACATGTGCTGCATTAAATTTATGCAATTTCTGAATTTTCAACGATGAAGATCAGCAAGCAAAAAAAATCCTGTAAAACTCTACGCAAAAGTATCTTTTACAAAATAATTTTTAAAAATTTTATAACGGTGTGTCTGAGTTTTTGTAGCAGACTGCCAGATATATTTTGAGAAGTTTCCACTCTCTTTTTTCTGTTGCTGTTTTGGAGGCCTGTCTCTTCATTATTTCACATCTTCATGGTTTTTATCTAGAGCTTCATTTAATCTTTTTTTTTTTTTTTTTTTATATCTAGCTGCTCCACGACAAAGGATTGAGTTGACCTTTGATGAACCTTATTACATAGAACCCTCATTTGAGTGTCGGTTTGATCATCTGGAGGTTCGAGATGGACCTTTCGGTTTCTCCCCTCTCATCAATCGTTACTGTGGTCTGAAAAGTCCTGCACTAATTAGATCAACAGGGAGATTTATGTGGATCAAGTTTACGTCTGACGAGGAGCTGGAAGGAAAGGGATTTCAAGCAAAGTACTCATTTATACCAGGTAAAAACGTCTAAAATTGTGAGTTAATGACCATCTGCTCCCACTGAACTCTGGGTATGTTTGAGCTCTCAATCCAGAGTTGCATTTCATTATTAGTGCTTGTGAAGGCACAGTGACAATGTGATAGTCACAGTCTCAGTCCTGCTTGGGACACTTGACTAAAACCACTTCGGAAAGTTGACCAAAGGAAATTACAGGTCTGTAGTTTGCTAGTGAAGAGGACAGTTGATCTTGTTCATGCTGAAGTCTCCAGCAGCATCCCTCTTTGTTCCTCTACCCTGTACCAGTTTCACCAGTGACTGTGCACACAAACAGCTGCATTTTCAACAGCCTGTCCTCCAGCAATATGAGACACTGACAAAAACACCCGAAGCAAATCTGCAATAGCACTCCAGCCAGAGGCAAAACATTTTAAATCTCCATTCTGAAAAGCCAGAGGACATTTCTATACAGTCCAAGCATCAGCTCTCAGTAGAACTAGATTCCCTCAATCCACAGGCTCAGCCAGCAGAGCTGCTCTTTGCTCACAGGTCTGTGTAGTTTACAGGTAGGAAGGAGAGGATAATGTGCTGACAGTGCCTTTAGACAAACAAAAGTACATCTGCTCTGTGGGGCCACTTAAAACTGGCAGGGCATTATTCTTACATGAAAATTTGACCTGATGTCCTTGTGCAAAGCTTGACTACTGTACTTCATGGATACTACACGTGTGGTTATCAGCATTTTACTGTCCTTTGGGATGAAAGGCAATATAAAAGTGTCAGTTCTGCTCCTTTTACAAATGTATACACAGGCATAACTTAATGTCACCTTTACCCAGCTGGTCTTTACCCCTACAGCAGATGAATACAATATCTATGATTATATATTACTGCTTAGGGATTTAGACTTGGAAATTTCAGATGAACATGGTGGCCAGTCCCCTGGGAATAACACGTTAAAATGTTTTCAGAGGGGCAGCATTTATGCATTTTGCCAAGTCCATTTCAAAGGCATTTCATAAACATCACTAAATTAGCATAGTTCCAGGCTGGAACTTTAAATACACATTGAAATGTTGCTGTTCTGATTTGTGAGGAAACATTAACCTGATCCCTGAAGTGCAAGCCTTGGATATGCCAGCCCATTACAGACTCGCTTTTAGCCGAGTTCTCGTCTCAGTAGATCGAGTACCATCAGTTAACCATTATGGAAAAGTATATTTTTACTTCACTAGTATTGGGCACACAGTGTGCTACTACAGGTTTACTGCAGATGTACACAGTACCTACACATCACACTGAGGAAAAAGGAGATGGAGGAGCAATCAAGGTGAGATTCTGCTTTCAGAAATGAGGTCTAGAACTGCACTACCTGGCCTAGTAGAAGAGATAAAGGTACCCAGGGAAAAAGTATCTCCAGGATTGAACTGCCCTTCTTCACATCCATTATTAAGAGCAGTTAGCTATTTCAAAGTCGTGATATATTCTGCTAAACTCGGTTCAAACTGTTCAAAACTAGACAGCAGTCTGATAAAATTAATCTAGTTAATCTTTCTGCACACAGAAAGATCCCCTGTACTCTTGTGGAGCTTCAGCAATTTCAGTGAAAACTGGAATAGTTAAATTGAGGACATAATGTAGGAGCAAAATACTGAATAGTCTCTTTTAGTGTTATGTTAGATATGTGAGCTGCCAGGATAGAATTACCTTATTCTGATAAGGTCAATTGTTGTGGAATAATGTTCTCATCTAAAAAAACTTTGCCTCTTTCCCCTCCAATTGCTTCAGTAAACTTTCTGGTAATTTTTATTGCGACATACTAAAAAACGGACATAATCTGCAGATAATACTAAACCTTGAAGTGATTCTCGAGCACTGATAGCCCTTGTGATTCATAACTTCTTTCTCTTGCAGATCCTGACTTCACTTACCTAGGAGGCATTTTAAATCCCATCCCAGGTCTAGTATTACAGTAACAATTCCTTTATACATGAAATTTTAAATTAATATCATACTGCATTTGACAGCAAGGTTTATCTCCCCCCTAGACTGCCAGTTTGAGCTCTCAGGAGCTGATGGAATAGTACGCTCCAGTCAAGTAGAACAAGAAGGGAAAACAAAGCCAGGACAAGCAGTTGACTGTATATGGACAATTAAAGCTACTCCAAATGCTAAGGTGGGTTTTGTTCACATAACTCAGTATATAATGTGTTTCCATGACATTCATAACAGGGAATGGTCACTAGCTGGGATTTGCATAATGTCTTACTTTCACCGAAATGAGTTATGTATCAGTGGTTTAGGAAATCCAGAGATATAATTGTTTTTGAAATTAAACTTACACAAGTCCACAGAGCTGCCTTCCTATCATTTGAAACTTCAAATACCAAATAACTGTGAAAACTGTTTAAGCAACAATTTTCAAGGGCATTTGACTTGAATTCTGGATTTATTGGAAGACTGCAGGCAAAAATGCTGGCTAACACCTTTGATAATTTCCGGTAAATCTCACTGCCATGGTTTAGCATTTTACCTCCAGTGGTTCTGTTGGAGAATTTGGTTCTGTTTGGACTCAACACGACACGTGCCTGCTTCTCCCATCTAATTCACAATCCAGCACCTTAAAATCCACTTTTGTCAGCAGTCTGAGCTAAAAGGAAAGGCTCAGCTTTCACCTGGAAACAGCTGAGAGATTATCACTCTTCTGACTTAGCTAGAGGATCTCCTAAAGTACCTCAGTTAAATTTGCTGGACCTTTTCTGCCCAAGCCCTAAAGGGGCATTATCAGCTGCTGGAGCCAGAAATCAACATTAGTTACTCAGGTACCTGCTATTTATGATTGCGCTGCAGAACTAGAGACTGCTTACAAAACCATCGCTGTCTTATGCTCATTAAAAACCTCGAGATTTGTTGTTAGGCAGAGAGAAGGAGAAAATCCTATTCACAATTCCAAAATACAATAGCTACAGCCTGTTTAAAAAAACCCAACAGCTACACATTTCAGAATCGTGTATTTGTTAATTATGAGTTGCACAGAAGAGTACATATTTATATTTTTTTTATAGCATACATATCTTTAACTTTGCTTCTGCTTGCATGTACATAAAAATTAAAAAATATTTCTAAGCAGTAGCTGCCAAGATGCCAGTTCTTACACACTCCTTATAGTTAACTAAGCAGCCCTGTTAACCAACTTCCAAGTGTATTCTGAAACAGCAGCCTAAAAGATGATAAGAAGGAGGACAAGACAAGAAAGAAACTAAAAGTCCATTAATATATTTGAGCCTTTGAGGAAGTGACTCAACTCCCAAGAGCCCTATCCTAGTCTAAGTAATAGCAGTTCTACCAGAAACAATAATAAAACCATTTTCTCTCTACATTGCCACTTGAGTGCACGAGGTCTTACGCTTAAGCATTTTAATAAATTATTGAATGATGCCAGAAGGCAGAGTTATAGTTGGGTGAGTCCTGAGATTAGATCATCATCCTAAATTATTGATTTAAAACATTACAGAAAAATAATTCTTAGTATTCTGACAGTGGTTTCTCAAGCTTCAATTCTGGCAGAATTATGGTGATAAAATCCATTAGATCTGATATGGTTCTCTCTTGAGAAAAATAAGCGTAGACATTTTTAATTTCCTCAATCTGATTTTGTAATAAAAATAAACTTTTAAAACCAACACAATTACAGCAATTAAAGTACCTTTAAAATCTGCATAACAGAGAAGCATCTATTATAAATTATATATAATAAATTGCCTCAAGATTTCAGAAAATTGCAAGGATAATCAGTATAATCTAAGAGTAAGGACCTTTTACATTTGCCCAACAGTAACCCAGATGAGCTTGTGAAGAGGTGAGGGCTTTTAATGGAATTATTCCTTTGTTTTCATACAAATAATAGCTCTACTAAAAATGTGCTAAATTATTTTTAGTTTCCATTGTAATTTTGTGGCAGATCTATAAAGTCAATCGTTAAAAGAAAATACCATCTCTCAGCCCAAATACTAGCACTTACAGCTCACACCCACGCCTGTGAGATAAGACATCAATGGAAGACAGGCTCTCAGTGTAGATGAGAATTTCCAGCAGTAAATCTAACACAAACAGCAGGGGGGGGAAAAGAATATAGAAAAAAAAAAAAAAAAAAGAAAAAATGTGTATACTGAAAAATCACAAAACAGTGAGGTGAAGCATGAGATGATATGGCACAGGCTGCACCTTTGGACAGACAGAGCAAGGGAAGGCAGTGCTGGCAGCCTGCCTTTGGAAGCACTGGGAGGGAAAAGCCAGGGGGTGCAAGTGTCACCTGTCTTTCCATGTGCTCTTTTATCCTGTTTTCAGTAAAGCCTGTTAGGTGTATGGGGGGATGTGTGTATCTTCCCCCCCCCCCCCCCAAAGGTGGTTAATTTTATTTTAGTGAATTCTTTATAATTCAATTTTGAAAGGCTTTGGCACCCACTGGGGTTAAAAATGAGATATGGCAAAAGGGCAGAAAACCAGGTGAATAGAGCAGGTGCAGGAGTGGGATTCATCCACCCTGACTTCCTCATTCACAACCTAAACAGGACTTGTTGGGCAGAGATAAAAATCCACACTATGCAAAAAAAATTCTTTAGCATCCATAACAGAGGCCAGAGAGGTGATCAGAGATGTCCTCAGAGCACACCCAGGCTGGAGCCAGGCTGACCTGAGCACACAGGGAAGAGCTCAGGGAGAGAGGGGGAGCAGGAGACCTCAGCCTCCACCTGGAAACATTTCTCCTCTCAAAACAAGGGCTATCTGACAAACTTTGGAAGTTGAAAATGGCCTTTGCAGCTTGCATAGGTGACCTAGTTTCATATCTCATAAACTTTCACTAGAATTCTGAGAATTCCAATACAGCCATTTAAGAGATTAAAAAAACCTTATGAGGTGTTCATGTCATTCTAGCTGAATTATCTTGCACGAGTTTTCTGCTCCAGCAAAATAAATTATTTCCTTACTCTTTAAGCACCATCTCAATCTTCTAATTTTCTTGCTGCACATGTTCAAACACATATGCTACCTTTTCTTGGGTTAGATTTCTGCTTTTTGAAGAATTAAGGTTAGCTTAAATTTATTACCTCTTCCTACATAGCCAGCTTAGTTTTCTCTCTCAGTTCCATTTTTATTCAAATTACTCCTGACTTCATGGTTTGTGTCTTCCATAACACTGCTATGGTTCAGTAATTAGCTTTCATTCTGAGGCAATAAATTTTAATTTCCTTATTTTACTTCAGAGCTTCTCTGACTAGACTCCTTCCCTTATATTTTAACATTATTTTTATGAATTAAAAAGAAAGAAAAGAGAACAGTCAAAATACCATTAAAATTATTTTAGCACATTTATTCATTCCTTGTATCTCTTCTAGAGTAATAGACTTCCCATTTAGCAGAGCTGCTTGGGGGTTTCTTCAGCAAGTGTGCTGCTTTGTGCTTTTATTTCCAAAGGGAGCAGAAATATATCAAAGTAAATTGTTAAATAAGGACTGTTTTGGGGAGCGGGAAGATGTGAAACAGATACCTAAGACAAAATTTCAGGTAATACTCCACGTGGACATTTAATGATGAAATGTAAGTTTAAAAGTGTTGTGAATTGGGAGATACCCATAATTGTAAGGGAACAAAACATCTTACTCAATATTTGCTAAGAAAGAAAACCATCTTCTCAGTGTTACTTCCCCCGGAGACATTAATTCCTCTTCTCTAACAGATCTACATGCGGTTTCTGGACTACCAGATGGAGCATTCCAATGAATGCAAGAGAAACTTCGTGGCTGTGTATGACGGGAGCAGCTCCATCGAAAACCTGAAGGCCAAGTTCTGCAGCACCGTGGCGAACGATGTGATGCTGCAGACGGGGACAGGGGTGGTGAGGATGTGGGCAGATGAAGGCAGCAGACTGAGCAGGTTCAGGATGCTCTTCACTTCATTTGTGGACCGTAAGTAGATTTTAAAGTGCCTGTTCTCCTGCTATCGGGACACTTCAAGTGTTCTAGGGAAAGCATCAGCTACGTGTTATGCAGCAGGAATACATGAAAAAGGTTATTTCTGTTTCTTTCACATAGTAGCTGGTAAATTAGGTAATTGCTTTATTACAGCTGTAAGGTGGTTCCTGAAGAACCACCTTTCATAAAAGGCTTATTTTCCATTTGAATTCAGCAATATTACCACCCGAGGCTATGTCCTTCCCACAGAGTTCCACAAACCAGCACAGACTTGCTTCAGAAAGACAACACAGGGACTGAAGCCATCCCTTATCCTCAGCTGCATGTGGCTCTAAGAGATTTTTGTGTTGTTGAGTTTGGGTCTTTGGGGTTTTTTTTAATGCAAGAGGTTGAAACACTAAGTACTCCTGAAGCTAGATAAGTTTCCAAACTTACGATTTTAAAGCAGCTCAGAAGTTTTTAGCAGAAGAAAATCTGCAAAGGTATGTGGTTATTCTTTTTTATTTGGATACTGCCTTTCTTGGCAGGTAGTTGAAAAGTATATGGCTGAAAAATGTATCATGTAGTTTTAAGTAATCTAGTCATAAACAATTTTTCTAGCTGAAAAAGGTGAATTCACACATTTTCAGATTGTTAAGCTATCTTTCTCTTCTGCCTTGCTAATGATTTGTAATTATATGAAGCCAACCATGAAAACGATCAATATTTTTGAAAAGATTTACATAAATGAACTAATTGTGCATGACAGTCACCTAACGCACACCTAGTGCTACTTGCAGATTTGACTAAGTAATTCAGCTAAGAGCAATGTTAAAAATCAATGTATTTGATTTCTGGCTTGATTCAATACATGAATAATGCTGGATACAAAGGACACTGGGAACATTGCACCAGTCTTAGGCAGCTGATATGAGAAGAGTCCAGCTATGTCCTTGAAGTCCTGGACTGGAAGTGATCAATCGTTGTGACTTTTAGTCTTCATACTCCTCAAATAACAAACAAAAGGCAAATTAAGTCCATTTGTCTCATCTTCACAAACTGTGGACATCCCCATCCCCACAAAAAGTTAGAGACTACACAAAAATGTACAATAGGGACTGTGCTGGTGGATGGAGAAGCAGCAACAGAAAGGATCAACCAAAAATACAGAACCACCTGTTCAGGGAAATAAGAAAGGGAATGTGTCTTACATTCCTGTTTATTCCTCTGTGCCTCCAAAAGAACTACAACTCCCTACAGGTCCCTATCAAAACACCAGCAAATACACATAGATCCACAACCACTACTTTGGACATGAATTTCATAGATCCTCCTTTATCTCACAGTCAGAAATATTTCAGTAGATACTGTAGCCTGTTACATACACACCCATTTTAAACTATTGTGTTTAAATTCCAATCCTGGTTATCCTTTATAAAGCAAAGCTTGCATAATCTTTCTTTCCAAAATCATAAGGAAAAAATACCTAAGTCTTTTCTCCCCACATGTAATAAGGCCAAGAGTCTTTTATTTTATAGCCTGCATCATGAACACTTCCATTTTGATTATTAGCCTTTCTCCCATTATATAGGTATAATGGTTAGAAACGTTGACTGCATCTTCCCATTTCTGTGAATGGCTTTAGGTCGTCTGGGATACCTGTTTTCATATTTAGATTGATACTCTTGCATAACTTTTGTCCTGTCATCATTTAGTCCTTCAGGGAGATGTGAATCCCTTTGGAATATAACTGCAGTATCATTTCAGACATTCCATCACAATGCATCATACGATGCTTCCATTAGGCCTTGAGCCATTAACAATGTGCATTTTCTTAGCAGCCACTCTTGATACATTACAGGAGAACATTAGTCACATCAACAACACAACAACCATCCTCCTTTATGTTTCCTTTCCTAAAGAGTAGCAGTTGATGAAACAGTTAAAGACATAGATAAGTCTGAATTTGTAGCGTTAAGCAGGAAAATGTTTGATTTTATTCTTTCATTTATCAAGTAATTGCATTGAACTTGGGGGAAAAAAAAAGTCCCATTGAAAAATGGTTTGGCCCTTAGAAAAAGTTGGATATAAAACATTATTGAAAAAGGCTCTTGGTTTAGAGCCTACCTAGGAAGTCTCCCTGGTCAGAAAGGATCAGGGAGAGCAGCTTTCCCAGGACCATATGAAGTCAGTTAGTGAACATCTCCAAGGATGGAGACTCCACAACCTCTCAGGGCATCCCATATGGATCACATTAGATGCTTCTGGCTGGTTTTTTGCTACAAGGGGGAATTACTGCCTCATGTTCCACTATTTCTCCACCAGGACTTGAAGTGTTTGTCTGTAGATCTGCCTTGCAGCTGGCTGATCCTCAGCCTTAGACGCATTTGTGGAGTTATTCCTTCGCTGCTGCAGGACTTTGTTTCCTTTTGTTGAACTTTAGGAGGAGGAAAAGGTGTTCCTGAGGCTAAATCTTCTTTCCATACTAATAAATTCTCAACTCACTTCAGGAGGGAAGATATATGTGGTAGCTACCATGACATTTTTAAGCTCTGAAATTACATGGATAAGCTCTCCCAAAATACATTCTGTATTACACTTGCACTACAATTAAAGCACAGACTTCCTACATGGAACTTCTTGCCAGATTGCCAGGGTTAAGCAGTGACAGAAAGCTAATACAAAGGCTTAAAACCAATGAGTGTAGGTTACCAGACTTAGTGGAGTAAGAAATGGGAAGACAATGCATATTAAATTTAGGGAATGCAAATTCAAAATTAAAGGTCTGAATTTTCTTTTTTCTTAGACATAACTCCTCTTTTTGTCACTGAGACTCTGAAGTCCAACAGAAGGACTAAGTGAGAAATGAATGCAGTATTCAAGAGTAGCCATTCCCCTCTGCTCTACCCTAGGAATAAATTCTTTTTATGAAACCAAATAGTCAAATGTCTATCACACATCTTTGCTGTGTAATATATAACTGAATCCACTAATAATAAACATTTCCGTGGTGAAAATAGTGCATTACTGAAACAGAGGAAGGGAAAACCAATTTCTTGTCCAGTACCCTGAATTCATAAATAATTCTCTATGTATACTATATAACACCCTGAGAAGAATTATTACTATTTTTTAATATTTTATTTGAAGTCAAGGAGCTATAACAAATATTCACAAAAACATCAAATCTCCAGGGCAGCTTTCTAGTTAATATCTTTCTTCAAATTTCTAACTATATATAGACAGATAGATAAAAAGCTAAACTGTACTCTCAATCCCTGCATTAGCTCTAATAGGAGGATCCAGGAGCTTTTGATTCACAAGCAGAAATGACTTAGATGCCTCCAGTTATTGAAATCTCTTGCAATTACTGAAACAGTCCTCTACAAGCTGAAATCTGATTTGCCTTAAGGTATTAATGGGCTCTAAAATGCAGATATTCAGGGGCTGCCTCACAACATCTACACAGCAGATGCACAGCGGAATAAATATATAATTGATGGTGAGCATGAGATTTTTAAGTATTAAGTTTTTAAAGACATGAATTAAAGCCTCCTTCCATTATCTGTATTTTGTGACTGACTCTATCTGGTACTTACCCACTTGGAGCAAGAATTTTTTTTTTTGTAGCATAGACAACACGCCTGAAAGCAACCACATGGAGAGAGAGAAAATCATCTGATAGTTAATGATCGAAAGAAAAGGGATTGTGTTTGAAACAAAGATAAAGAATGTGCTAGCATGTTAAAAAAACAAACAAGAACTTACTAGTTGTATTGCGAGGCACCAATAACTGAAAATTCTGAGTGTTTTCTTTCTCCTCTCTCCTGCAGCTCCCTGCTCAGGCAACACTTACTTCTGCCATAGCAACATGTGCATCAATAATTCTTTAGTCTGCAATGGCATCCAGAACTGTGCATACCCTTGGGACGAGAATCACTGCAGAGGTGAATACAGTGCAAAGTAGAGCCTTTATGAGCTGGGCTGGTCAGTTTGCCTTTCAAGAAAGCCATCAAATGTCTTTTTCCTGGAAATATGCTGAAGACAGCTATTCTGCTAATCTCAGGAAGGTGTTCCAAATTTTATATTTAAACTCAGGAGAAATGTAAAGCTACCTGAATATTGACCTTACTGCTTCATAACTCTTCAGCATATACTCTCTACTTTAAAAGGGTATCAGCTTGATTAAGAAAGAGAATTTAATATATTCCAGGCTACATCCTGACCATTTCTAAACTTCACCGAAAGCGAGGATTGTAGGGACAGGTAGTGCCTTTTAGAGGAAAAGAGAGCTGGAAAAACACAAACAAGCTTTCAAGCATAAAGAGCCTTTCTCAGGGCTGAAATAGAAGCAACAATCCTGGAAGATAAATACAATTTTAAAACATTTGAGTTATAAATTGCAGGCTATTTCAGAGTAAATTCAACTGCTGCATATGGTGTGAGAAAGGATGGGAGGAAGGAGGAATTGTTAGGAAGAGTAATCACTTATGGAAAACAGAGGTGTAAATGTCTGCCTCTAGAACACGGGGCAGGAAGTATTATTTAAACCATCACAACTGCAGTAAGGACTTGCTTCAAAATCAGGTTTTATAGGAAAAATTCTCATGATTTGAGAAAATTGTTATTCTGTTAAAGCACCCCTGGTTTTTAATTGCTTTTTGGGTAAACAAAAAAAAATTCATACCGCTAAAAAATACTCTGTATGTCTTGGATATTATGGAAGCTTTCCAGCTAACAGAACTGATCCATAGCTCCCAAGTTCTCAATGTACAACTAAGCTTCCTCTAAACAACCCTTAGCTTTGATAATATTCAGCATTCCCTCTTAAGTGCAATTTCTAGATCTCTTTCCCATCTTTACCAAATGCTGTCTGGAATCTCACCTAGAATCCACACTTCACTCACGTACTGTAGGATTAAAAAAAAATAATTCCACAAAAAACGTGCTGTAATGTGAAAAAAGAGTATTTCCCAATATCTGTAAATTGCTATATCTGGTGCTGAACAACCTATCATGTTTTATATTTAATGCAAGCTAAATTCTGCTGTAGTACTTGCACAACAGATAATTTAGGGGCAGCTGAAGACCAGATCCGTATTGCCAGCTATGGGAGACTGATGCAACCAAATAAGCGATATTTAGCCTTAAAAAGAAAGCTGCTCATGACTGTGCTCAGTTCCTGCAGGCACCCAGAGTTCTCATTTAGTCCATATCAATAGCTACATAAATCTGAGCATATTGTGACCTACTTATGCCTAAGCCCTGTAACACAAAAATTGTTAGAAAAGTCAGTTGGGTGCAATGTATTTTAAGAGACTGGAGAAGACATCACCTTTTGCATAACAACTTCTTGATTGAAATATCTTCCAAGAATTAAGAAACCTAGATGAAGACAAGAGAACTTCCATGGTACAGGAATCCATACCTCCAGCAGTCCAAGCTGTGAAGCAGAAATGTAACTTCTTATTCCAGTTCCTTGGGAGTCTGTTTAGTACATGGATTGTTTCAAATAACACATGAGGGTGTATAACTCTCTCCATGCACAGTGTGTGGTACTCATGTGCGTAACACACATATTCAGGTGCCAGATATCTGAAGATATTATGCAATATTTAGGCTACTACATTTTCTTCTACATAGTCTTAAATGCTTTTCCTCCCCACTAGCAGGTTCTGCAGAGCCTCAGTGTAGAAATCTTTCAGTCCCCTAGGACAAGAACATTTACAGAGAAAAAAATCCAACTGGAAAATTTGAGTTTTCAAATAGAAACTTTAAATATGGAAAACGGCCTTGTTCTGATGCTGCCATCTTGTGTGGTTTCAAATGAAGTACTAGCCAAAATTTGGATTAGTTGGTTCCCCTCCCTCTTCTTTTTTCCTCTCAACTGACTTGATTACTGGACTCCTAAAACTGGAATATATCTATGCTAAAACTCCCTGTGTTGAATTAGGTATAATAGCCTCACACAATAGACACAGACATTACATTTCCAAGAGATGTGAAAGCAAACAGCACAGCCATTCTTACACCTGATATCACTGTGATAATATTTCATTTTTAAAGAAGAACTAGCTGATTGTAAATCTAGGTTTTCTTCCACGGACATCAATGGGAATGTTGCCAAGAGGAACAAACCACGGCAAGAGAAGCATCAGCTGTAGCTGGATTTAACCTATTTAAGGTTAACTTAAGCCTGTTTAATTCACAGATTTTGGAATATGAACTGATCAGTTAAGGTTCAGGATGGAAATCACCCCCTAGCTGAGTCAGCATGCAGTGGTCACAGAATTCCACCTGCCACTGAATTATCATATGGTAGCCTCTAATGACAGGGAATTAGACAAATCCCATTGACATACAGGTCTAGTCTCCAGTGCCTTTAAGTAATTTTATTAATATGGCACTTGCTGGCAATCATAATGATTTGCTTTGTTGAAATACATTATCAAAAGCGTGGAAAATAATAAAAGTCTTACCGTGATCCTCATTTTTTCTTTGCAGAAAAGAAAAGAACTGGATTGTTTGAACAAATCACCAAAACTCATGGGACAATCATTGGCATCACATCAGGGATAGTTTTAGTTCTTCTCATCATTTCAATTCTAGTGCAAGTAAAGCAACCTCGCAAAAAGGTCATGGCTTGCAAGACTGCCTTCAATAAAACCGGTTTCCAGGAAGTATTTGATCCTCCTCATTACGAACTCTTTTCACTAAGGGACAAAGAAATTTCTGCGGATTTGGCAGATTTATCGGAAGAACTCGAGAACTATCAGAAAATGCGACGCCCTTCAACAGCTTCCAGATGCATCCACGACCACCACTGTGGCTCCCAGGCCTCGAACATAAAACAGAGCAGGACCAACCTCAGCTCCATGGAACTGCCCTTCCGCAACGACTTCGCGCAGCCCCAGCCCATGAAAACCTTCAACAGCACCTTCAAGAAAAGTACTTACACCTTCAAACAAGCTCATGAGTGCCCTGAGCAGGGTATAGAAGACAGGGTGATGGAGGAGATTCCGTGTGAAATTTATGTGAGAGGAAGGGAGGACACGGCACAAGGTTCATTGTCTATTGACTTCTGACTTCCTGGTGAAGGTGGGATCGGTGTATATACGAGATGCTTGTGTACAATGACAGTGTACATATTAAAAGTGTATCATATGCAGCGTGTGAGATGCACACACTTTTAGCTTATTATACTTCATTAAAAAAAAAAAAAACAACACCCAGTCTTCATAACTAATTCTTGCTGAAAAATGGTGAATTTCCTCCCATCTTCCCAAGCTACCTATCTAGTGGAGGAGTAAAACAGAGACTTTGCATGGAAATTTTAAGAGAGGATATTGGAAGAAAAAACCCTAGAAGTACTAATCATTGAACACTGAAAACAATGGCTACTATTCTCTTCTGGCTACCATTTTTCTCTTCTTTAGATGTCTGCTTTTGAAGACAATTTTAATACCTCACTTGCATAAATAAAAGTAGTTAAGTGCACCCCATGTATGTCAACATAGGTGTCTTATTGTGTTTGTCAAATTGGAAGTAGAGTTAGTGTTAAGTGCCAGTTAAGACTCAAGAATTATGTTACTGCCATCTGTTTCACTTGCCTCCCATTTCTATTGCCTTTAATTATCAGTTCCTCACTCTATGCTTTGTAAGAAATGAGTGGAAAGGGTTATTGCCTTTTAAAAATACTAAGTTATATTTTAGTACATTTGGAAATACATAATCTTTGCAGCTTTTGGTTAAAACACAAGCGAGTAGTCATGTTATTCTAGATGCAGACTTTTACAACAGTTTTCTTTCAAGGTTTAGGATTCTGAAATATTCTGCCATGTATTACAGCTCCATATGGCACATTGATTTCACAGCTCCGTACTTGGGAAACAATTTTGTGCCTGCGTTTTCCAAGTATTTACATAAATAGACTGTACTGTACATTCGTCTCTTAAAATAGCCTTTTACTCCTTGTTGCAGCCAATCTTCCCTACTGAAATCAGTGGTGATACTTTTAGCTCATGTCCTACTTGCCTGAAGAGAACTGCTCTGAGGTCTGTGTGATTACCAGATCTATGAAGATACTGGAAACAAAGAGAATTCACAAAGCAACTCTTATTAACCCTTATGGAACCCTTCTTGTGCCCCTGGTTTCCACATGCAAAATTGCACATTTCATACCTTTTTTAATGGTGGTTTGGACCTAATTTTAAAATTTTTACAATATAAAAAATTTTTTAAAATATATTCTCATTGTGGTTTTTAAACTTTTTATATAGTGTGATACTGTACAGACTATTTATTATATCACAATCTAGCACCTGTACAGCAGGCTTGTGTCAGTGGCCCTCTTGGCAGCTCTGAGAACAAGCAGTCGCTGCTGTACACATCACAATTTACCAGTAGTCCTTACCATGACTTCCACATTAGCCTACATTTTATTTCCTGGTTGGTTTGAGCTTATTCCAGTATTTTTTGTACATGAAACCTTTCACTAAAGCTGACCTTCCACCTTGCACTGGGCATAGCCTTTATTTACAGGTGTCAAAACATAGTGTTTGTTGCACTCACTGTAGTACAAACAAACAAACAAACAAATCATATTAATGTATGACTGTAGCAATTGAAAAATCTTTAAAATAAAAGATGAACAATAGCTACAATCACAGAGGTTCATTAGAATGACAAAGCATTTTTGCAATCTTTTTTACAAATGCTTTGAATGTATGGCATTTAAGAAAGAAGAAAAAAAAAAAGAGGGGAATTGAGTTTCTTCAACACTTCCTAACTTCAAAGTTACTGATGTCTGATGTCCAGAAAGAATTTATTACAGAAGCTCATATATCAGACCCATCAGGCTGTATCCCAGTGTCAGTTTTTGTGCTGGTCTCAGAATGTATTCCAGTTTGAAGGAATGAAAATGAACATTATTTTTAGATGCACTTCACACAGAAGTGTTAAAAAAAAACCTAGTAAAGTTTGACTCGAAAATTTTTGAATATTTAATTAAAGCATTTGACAGATTTAATTTACTTTCAGTAATATTTTCAGTAAATTTTACACTTTCAGTAATAAATACCTCACCATGACCTATAAGACACAGAACATTATTTCTGACAATCTGTTAGTTCCAGATTCTTTTTACAAGTACATAGTTTACACAGGTCATTTTTATCCATATAGCTCCTATAAGTGCTAGGTTTGCATGATTAAGTTTTCTTTTTAAGCTGCATTTCTCCATGTGATAAAAATAACATGATCCCTACTCTTCCCTAGGTTATGTTGTCTCTGAACAGTAAACCTGTATTAATAAAACAAATAGCAAGCCTTCAAAGCCCAGGTCTGTGGGGAAAAGGGACAAGCTCTGTTGAAGAAGTTCCTAAATGGCTTGGATAATATTTCAGTCTCTCATAACTTTCCAAATCTATGGTTGGAGCACAGGTGCTTTTTGGCTACCCCAGGGCACGCGGGTGAGCTCCCGTAGCCAGTCATGTCCTTTGAGTACAGCTTTTTCCAGTATCCCCAAATCCATCTCCACAAGCTTTGCTTTCCCCCCCTTCTTTGCTATCTGTTCTGGCTGCTTTAGGATGTCAGTCAAGACACTCCTGCCTGTTTAACACCTGCCCCAGATTCCCAATACAGAGCAAAACTCTCTACAAGGGAACTTTCCTGTATTACTGCAATAGCAAACCCAGCCCTTACTGTGGCAGTAGCTGCACACAACCCCAAAGGAATAACGATTTCTCTAGGCCTCTAGAAGTAGTAATAGCAAGAAAATGAAATATTGGTGCAAAGTGAAATTAGCATTGAACCTAAAATTCTGAAAGGAAAACCGGTGCACAGTGTGTTTTAAAAAATAATAATGCCTACACATCTCTGGCAGTGTTGAGTTCAGTTACTTAGCTGTGCTCTAAGAAATGAGGGGTAACTATTACAGCCATAATTCCATTTCCACTTCAGTAAAATTCCTTTCTCTGGGTGGACTGATTGGTATCACTCAGAGTACAGAAAACTGGCATTTTCAGCAAAAGAATCTAGTATTGGCTTTGCAGTCTCAATCTGGTTGAGGCTGATGTTGTGGTCTTTAAACTTTTTCTGGCATTAGTGAAAAATACCACCTTTCTTATTTGTGCCATTTCTAAGTACTTTTAGCCTTTTTTCGTTGTCTCCATCTTAAATTCATGCATTTCTAGGAGCATCCTGATTTTGCACTGAGTTGTACCCTTATCTGCAATACCATCTGTTAACACTGAACACTCATTAGCAAAGATCTACTCACAAGACACACACTGACCAGGAAAAGACCAACAGCAGGAACTACTGTTTGGTATTTATAATTAGTTTTTACCTTTTATCTTAGTAGCTTAGCCAACTATCTAATATGAATAAGGAATTGTGATAAAAATTGTATAAGTAAACCTCAAGCCAACATGAAAATAAAGGTGACTGTGAATCACGACTCTTGCGAGCTCTGTGAGGAGACATCTGCATTTACAGACATGACAACAGTGGTGCAGGAAACTGAGGCTTAACACTGTTCCTGACTCTGAAATATATCGGTGATGGCAGAAATACTAATTTGTGCTTAAAATGCATGAGATTCTCTTGTCTGTTGTAGACAGGATGACCCTCATAGCATATACATATACAATGGCATATTATAAGAATTAGTCTATTTTTACTAAACCAATACAAAGAAGGGTTGTGAAAAGAACTGTCATTGATTTACAAGAAAAGGTGCTTGCCGTGGGAACACGTCACAGGACTTTTAAGTCATTAAAATACACTTTGTTTTGGTTTTTCCTTGGTGCAAAGAATTCTAGGCATTACCAGCAAATCTGCTAAATGAGGAAAAAAGGCTTGACTTATTTGCAAAACAAATTAAATAATGTTCTTACATCATTGTTCAGGACACTGAAGTTTCCAAACTGTGTAAGTATAATCCTTTATCTGAAAGGATACCAAGCAGAAGTCCTAAAAAAAAACTAAAATTAAAAAAAAAAAATTAAAAAAAAATCTTGGCACCTCCACCTGGGAAGCCAAGAGTAAATTACTGCTTGAAATGGAACAACTTAATTCATGTGCATATGTGAAAGCATATCTACGGCCTTACCTTCCTGTATGGTCAGGTTCTATATATCTGTTCACATTAAAACTCAGTCAAATCCATTTACTTTTTACATGACCTTATTTCAAAGTTTATGCATAAGCCCTATGATTTCTCAGGAGGTCTGTAGTCTCTTTATCAAAACAAGATTCCTAATCCATGTTAGTCTGAAAGATAAGCTGATTTTGCACTGAGATCACACTGCTAAAACTGAATATTAATTATAAGGGGAGAAAGGATTTTAAAATGAAAAACCTGGATGAGTTAACTCATGCTTTGAAAATTAGTGTTTACACCACCGATCTCAATCTAACAATATAAAATATCTTTAAGACTTCCGTTCCTGTGGTGTCTAATAAGCATCTCTCTACAGCATAAGTCCCCCCTATAAATACACAAATCACATGCCAGTATGCTGTAATATGTGGTTCCAAGTCAGGGTGGAACTGCAAGTTTATTTTCATACTCAGATTTTTTTGCTGCACTCCATTTTACACAATCAGCTTAACAAAAATCTTCTTCCATCTGTTTCGTAGCTCAACAACAGTAATTTCTGAATGGTCAACTTGTTCCCTCTTATTTTGCTGTTGAAGATAATCTACCATATACCAGATAAAACAGCTTAGTTTGTATAAGTCTGTTTTTACAGAGCCAGGCTCAGGAGAAACAAAGTAAGATCTTGATGCTTTTGTATGTCTTTCCGCTACCATCCCATAATTCATAGTAATAACTTGTACAGTGGAGAAGCCCATAAAAACTTCATGCTACATTCTGTTCAAGAAAAAATAAAGTCTTACAATATAAACCAAATAATCTGTACCTAAGACCGACACACCTCAAAATTCAAAATAATTTTATGTTTTGGAATCTAAATCTAAAGGGTATGAGCTGTCAGTGCTGCCAATGACTTAAGAAATACACATCACACCATCTTCTCTGAACAACTTATTTCTCAGCCCAAACACAGATTTCCTAGACATTTTTTAAGTGTTAAAACTTATTTTACTATTTTATCAATGTATATATAAATATATGCATATTACATCTTATAATTAGCTTCACAGTTCATTATCACCTACATGAAGTTGCTTCTGGCTTCCTTCCACATGTATTTAGGAGCAGTAATTATAGTGCAAAATATTTCTCGTTAAACCACAGCATTTCAGGCTTTAAACACTGTGCTAATTCTGAGACTATACTGCAGCTTATTTTTCACCAGAGAAGTAAGAGGCTGCAAAGAAAACTCAAAGCTCACGGGATTATCTCCTTGACCTAAAATGAACATGGCTAAACTGGAACAGAGCACATCAGTGTTCTAAAACTCAAGATTTAGTATTTAAGAGGGAAGTAATACCAGAATTAAAAGGGCCTGTGTTGTTTTATGAGAGGATTTAGTTTGCCCCAGTTTGCTCATAACACTTGTCTTTAATAACTGCTCCATACACCTATGAAAATGACACAGGCTTAAGCTGTTTGCAGACAGGAGAGGAGTTGAAAATTAGAGAATTCTTTGTTGAAAATACCAAACGAGAAACAAATGTTAACCACTGGACATTTCTGATAGTGCTTAACTCGCCCTTCAATGCAGTCGAATTAGTCTCGAGGTAATAAAGCCCACAATTCTACCTATATTTTAGGTTCCCTCACATCAGTAAAGACCCTCATACTCCTGATAATTTGGAAAAAGCCACCTGCTAGTCCTGAGTTTATGGACTAACATTCTCAGTTGCTACTGATTATTATAGAAAAAGGTGATTTAGTGATTAATGGGGGTGAAAAAAGCAGGAAAATACTCTTGAAAGCAATTATGAGATAAAAGATTCTTAGAAAGACAAGTCAATAAATCCCAAGTCTCTTAACCATTGTAATCCATCTTCTATTTGTAAGGAACAAACAGCCAAGGTACATAAGGGATACCACTCGTTGCTGGCTCTCCACTGTACATTTAATAACCCAACAGACCAATTGAAGGCCTGAGGCCTAGTCAAATAATTTTAATCTTTCTGTAGTAATGAAAACAAAGAGACCTAGCAGAGTAAAGATGTTTGTTTTGCACTTACCAGAGGCAAAAGATTCTGCACAGGCCATTTAATCTTCTGTCATCGTGAAGTGTTATCTTTAACAGTGAAGGGAATTCTGGAATATAAAAGAACAGCACAAAATATCTATGTACAATTCAATTCATAGCAAACAAATCAAAAGGAACAGATACTTAAAATAATCTCATATATTAGGTATTTTCTAGAACTCTGTATGACTCCTAAGATTATCACATTCTCCCAGACACCTCTGCATTTTGTCTGTTCTGCAGATTTGAATTCAAGCTCTTGTGTATTAAATCTGTGCAAGTGAAGTAGTAATATGAGAAAACTAAATTCTTGGTCTTTAAGATCCAGAACTAATAAAGCTGCAGACTTGGAAAGTTTTACTGTACTGCACTTCCCTCCTGAGAGTGAAAGCAAGGGCAGACATCCTTTACTTGAACTATCGGAATCCAAACATGACTTATAGTTAGAACAAAGTTTGGGTGTTTGTTTTTGTTACTTTGTTTTGTTCTTTTTAATTGTAGTTCCAACTTCCCTTTCATTATTAGCATCATAAGATAACATTTCTTCTAAAGCAAATATGGGG